CCTCCACTATTTTTTCTTAAATGTTAAAGCCACAAAATATTGTGACTTTAGTGTGAAGGGAGGGCAGAAATCAAAATGCATGATTTCAGTGCAATCATCTGTGACCTTTGACTTCAGCTCAGTTGTGATGCATCAGGTTAGATAAGATTAAATTGATAGCTTTGATTCATGTTCCCTTTAGAATGCTATAAGCAATGATGCAGAACCCAATGGGAATGCCGATTAGACCTGGATTAGAACCTGAATCATAGAGATTAATTGAAAAACAGATTTGTGTCAATTTGCACATATAGTCCTGACTCTCATGCTGCATACCATTCAAAGTCAAATGTGGGATATTCTAACTTGATACCTTAGATTTTTGACTATACATTATTATTGTAAAATGACTTAAAAAAACATTTACAGTACTTTACACATTTGTTCACTGAACGCATTTTTGTAGGAAGGTTGACTGATGCACTTTTTATTTTGCTTAAAAGTGAAGGTTTATTATCAGTTGTGTGCAAACTATAATATCTTCTGTCACTAGCTATGTTTTCATCCAAATTTGTGAATTTAATCTGTGCCAAAATTTGGAATGCCACATAAAACATTAGTGAAAAGAACACCACTTCTATTCCATATGTTCAAAAGAACAAAATCTGCACTTCCTTTGAAACTGGCGCAAAGTATAAGAAATAAAATCTTGCTGCGATTGGTAAAGCCTGTTAGCTGATAAAATGCAATAACAATATTATCTTGTTTGTCTGTTGAGGCAAAGTCATGTGATTATTATTTTTTGGTTGCACTCAGGAATTTGAGTAAATGTGTTTTCCATATAGTTAGGCACATTTTCCTATACTGAAAAAAAATCTGCCTCAGTTGAGTGCATACATTTATTTATTTTTGTTCATTTTAATATTTTATGCACATCTTGCCATTTCCATCCAGTTTTTTATTCAATATTCCAAAATTTGCATAAAAATAAATGGATGGAAACGCAGCTAATGACGAACAGACCACAATCTCCTTTAATTACAACTGACGGCTGAAGTCCCTAACAAAGTGATTACTAGTGTTGTAGTCCATCTCCATGTTGGCACGGGCTGTGCCTCTGCTCAGGGAGCTTCACAGTGGTGTTGAGTGGACATTAGCCATGACCGGGGCAGGTTCTGCTTGAGTGGCTTCACTCATGGCCTGTCTGACCACTGGAGTGGAAGAGAAGATCTCCTGCAGGGTTCAACTGTCATTCATAAAACTACCAACCACTGCACTACTGCAGACTCCCAGACGCATTTTAAATGAATGAGATGTATTTATTGATGTATCAGAGACGTATGGATTTTTGTGTTTGCATGCATTTTGGTATATGCTACTTAGATTTTTGGATGGACTTTAGATGTTTTTTGCTATATAAGTGGTCCTTGAAAATTTTGATGCACGCATATTGTGCTTTCCCCCTCCTCTCAGTAACACATTTATTTGGTTTAAAAAGTAAATTAAAAACTTGCTGCGGAGGCAATATCTTTACTATTTTTGTACCTTGTGAGAAACGTTTAAAAAAATGTTTGCTGTTCAGTTTTGTGTGTACGGTAGCAAAAATATGATTGATCTAGATCTAGTATTGAGCATCTAAAACAGCGCCTGCCGTCTGGATGTATTTAGTGACTTTTATTTTAGCAAATTTGTTACACTCTTTTTAAAGTAGAGTCTAATGCAGTTTGCTGTTTCACATCTGAGTTTAGATCAGTCACTTTATCAACCAAATAAACTAAACTGTGCTGTCAATTTGACTCCGATCAACACCAAAAGCTCTAGTGTGAAAGTGTCTTGAGTGTTGAGCACTGATGTCTAGTCTGCTCTCATGCCAGTGCCAGTATCTGCCACTCAATCCGTAGTCTGTCGATATACTGAGAATGGATTGAGTATGCTGGGTAGAGTACGACTGTGTGGTTTAAAATCATTTGCTCGTACTGTTTGTTCATGGCTGACATGGTTTAAAATAATGTAAAAAAAAAAAACACAGAAAATGCACTTGAACATTTGAAAATACATGAAACTGAAATACCATTGTACTTTTGTAATATGAGTTAAATGTTTTTGTTGCAATATAATATTAATATTATTGAGGTATGTATGGTTTATATATTATTCATTTGAATTAGTTTTTATGTTTATATTTTATGTTTTAGTAATTTAGTTGTGTTTTTTGTCATTTTATTTTTTATTTTTTTAAATAGATCTGTAGTTTTTATTCAATTTTCAGTATAATTTTTTTATTACATCAAGTCAATGAAATGAAAATGAAAAATGTTTCCTTGACAACCAGCTGAAATAAAATGTTTTTTTCTTCTTTTTTTTTTTAGTTAACCATTAGGCTATAACCCTGCTCCAGAGTAATTAGACACATAGCAATTATGGCTCAGGTGATTGGTTCAAAAATAATTTTATTTAGATTTGAGTAAGCATGAACAAAGATGACACAATTCATGCTGCAATCAAATGAAATGATTTTTAGACCTCCTTGGTATGTTTAAAAAAAAAAAAACATATTTTAAGAGACAGAGCAAGTATTGCATTTTGAAGATATATTAAAAACAAACGTTTTATTTCTTTGAAGTAACCTTCACATTGTTCACACAACACCCAGGAACATGTATTAAGGAAGGATCAATTTTGATTTCATGCTTTTAGACAATACCATATTTCTTATGTCCTTCATTTACTCTTCTAGCTTCATGCAACTCCAGTCTCTCAGCATGCAATATGCAGTTCATAAATCTCCCTCTCTGTATATGCATTAATTCAGTACAACAAATACATTAATGATTAACAATTTTATAACTTAAACAGTATATGGGTCAAAGACTCCTTAACCTTTCCTCCAATTTCGATGAGAATACTCTCAAATTAAAGCTCAGAGTTCACTTTAAGCCCATATTCATAACTGTAACTTGAATGTTAAGATGTCCGCATCAAAAGAAATTTACAAAAGTGATTATATGTATATAGAAAGCACATTCAATGTAAGTAAAGTGTCTACTTTTAAGGTTTCAAATAAGTTTTTTGGAGAATAAAATGTTAAAATTTGGTTGAAATAATGTTACATTGTCATTCAGTGTAACACAATATTTATGTAAAAGTTCAAACAACATGCTAATTCTGACTTGTACATATTAAAATATATAAAAGAATACGGGAGCATATTAAATTTTAT